GTTTAGGACGAAATGAACCACTTTCGCCTAAGTTTCTGAATAGATTTTGAAACAGTCGTTTACCAGGTTGCAATCTGTTTGGAAATCTTCGGCAATATTCACGTTGCGCAGCACGTCCATTGAAATTTTGTTGACAATAAACAACCGTCATATCTCTCATTTCCAAATTCGAGAAATTATTATGTCTCGGCATAATTCGTTATTTTCTTTTAAATACTTAATTGATTTTTACCAAAAATTAATAAATACAATTTGAATTAATTGCTAACTGTCACAATGATTTTTTCTAATTGTCAAAACTGTCTTGGCATTGTCGCACACTACGATAAAATTTCCTGTAATGAAACATGCAGCAGATTGTTGAAATGCGTTTTTCTTGAAAACGGACAATTTCTAGAGCTAATGACAAGTATACCATTTTTTCACGAAAATAATGTAGGTTTAAGATTTTTAAAAAAAAGAAGCGTTAACGTTGTGGATAAAAAAATTATGCTCGTATTTACGTCATAAACACGGCGTATGTGGCGCCCTCTAGAAGATACATCGAAATAGATAACAAATTATGATTTCTCGTATACAGAAACATCTACCCCTAAATTTTCACGTTCATACACTCAAAAATATTATAATTATTACGAAAATTCAATTTTTAATTTCCAACTTTGACACCCTGTATCTTTTTTGTTATCAACATTTTATTAAGGCATGTTGGCTCCAATCGTAATATTTTGAAGTAAAAAATCTAGTATGTCTCTATGGACCATTACTTACGGACCACCCTGTATAACAATGATTTTCAGCCCCGTGTACACACAAGATTCAGATTTTACAAGGAAGAAGCTTTTTACGGATGAATGTTTTACTAGAAATGGCACACCGCGGCGCGCGGCAGCTTCAATATCAAAGTTAGGTGCCGCACTAGGGACGGCTTTAAATTTGTTTTAACCTTCATGTGAGATGTTTTTTTTTTCCATTTAAAACGTAAACACCCTGTATATTAAAATAGAGAATGTTACTAACTGGACCGAAAAATTCATTCAAAATAGATGTATAGACACTGATATCTTTGAGATTGTTTTGTTATTGTTGATTTTGTTCGATAAAAAGATTAATTCAGTTTATTTTTATTACTTTATTTATTAGAAAATTACCGCACGGCATGCCGTAGTTTCCTATTACCGCACGGTTGTTGCTAAATTTCTGTAAAGGGTATTGTACATTATTAATGTACGCTGTTTATTAATAAATTACGGTCATTACAATTTTAGTCGTAAAAATTTTAAAATGGCTTGGTAGTAAAACAGAATCTTATCTATGCCTATACAACATTGTTTTATAGAGACTGTATCTACTTTTTATTGTCACAGTTTGTAACACCCTGTATGTATGCAGGTACGACATTGTTCCCGTTAATTTCAGCTTACAATAACCGACTTGAAAAATGTGGCAAATTATTCGAAAGGGTTCGGAACGATTCGATGAGGATTTTGCGAGCGGCGCGGCCTCTATTTGTTTTCGGAGTTCCGCCACGTTATATGCTACATTCCAGGGGGTAGCTAATAAACCGGGGCCCCCGGGAAAATTGAGGGATGCTTTACATTCCGTTTCCAATTCGACTCGCACAAAAATAACACTTGAATTAATTGAAACAGTTTTATATCGGAAACGTCCCTAGTTTTACGCCGACTGTTATTAATTAAAGAAAACATTCAGCTCATGGTCCGTTATTTCTCTAAACGGGTGGAGGTTTGCGTTGGATTTTAACTCTCTTTTTTGCCCTTTTTAAATTGCTAGTAATTAAAAAATTGGTGATGTTTTTGACGCTTTTTGCGAACTAATTAATGAAATACCTTTCTGTTTAAATATTTTCACGAAATTGATAACATTGGGAAAAATAATTTATTATACATGTTGATGCGCAATACCTAAAAAACATTGGAGATAAGTGCGCCATTAAAAATACAACCGGTATGACCAAAAAAGTATTTTACTACATAAACCAGGAAAGGAAATATTTTGAAATTTATTAATTACTGGGGGTGATTTTATTGTTGAAATGCCTTGGGAATGATAATGACAAGAGGCGTCTCATCTCGTGGGTCATAAAAAGTATAGCGTCACTGTTTTTTTTATCAACAAATAGGTCAAAAATTTTTCCCATTTTTCGTTCTACGCATTATTGTAAAAAAAATTTCATCTTTAAAATGAGACTTTATAAGTTAAAATTGCTTTATAAATAAAAAATTCATTGCAAAATTATACGGAAAAAGTGCTTTTTCTTTAATTGTTAATAACTTTTTAAGTAATTAATAAAATCTTACTAAACTTTCCCAAAATGTGAGTTTTATATCCTTAAGAGATGTGCAAAAGATGGACTCGATCGGTCAAATAGTTTTTGCAAAATTCCATTTATTTATACCATTTTTGCAAAAAAGGCCCATTTTTAAGTGACTAATCCGGGGGAAGGGTTATGACTAAAACATTCTTTTTGGGCTCATTTTCTTCGAAGGGACACCAAGTATCCTCTAGTTAAAAAAAATATATTTTTTTCAAATTTAAAATCGACCTTAAAATGACCATGAAATATGATCTTATTCTTGAGGTTAAGTTAATATCTTATTGTAAAACTTCCCGCTCTTGTAATTTCCGGTGAAAAAAGAGGATCCCATTTAAAATTTTGAATTTGATCTTCAAACGACCTTGAAATCAAAGTCAAGGTCATTGTCAACGTCAAAATAGATCCCTTTTCACCCTACAACTTTTGTATGAAATATTTTATTTAAAATAGTGATCCTAACAAGGTACTCCGTTGTCTCAAGATGTTTTTTTGTTTTTTATGGCCATTTTATTGCCAAAATATGGGTTAAATCGAAAAAATAATAAGAACAAACAGTAATTTTTTTAATCTTTCAATCAAAATGCGTGGTAAAAAATGGGTGTTTCCGTTTAAAAAAATCAACTTCTGGTCTAAAAACATCACTTCCGGTTTAAACCAGAAGTCGTAATATGGACCTTTCAATGGCCCCCTCTGCGCTCCTCAATTTTTGTTTGAAACTTTTTTCGAGATAATCGAGTTCAAGATAAATGCCCACCCGGTATATTGAAGATTTGGTAAGAATTTATTGAGAATTCTCTAATTTTAAAGATCGCTAGTGCTTTCTCATTTAAGTTTATAGAACATTGTAATATCAATATCAATTGAAAAACTAACATAGAAAACAGTCAAAAATTCTTATCTGTATGTTTATGTTTCGCTATAGAAGTGCTATCTTTTTTTATTTTTTTCTTTTATTATTTTATTTTATTTCTATAGAAAGTTTATTTTTTGTCACATTTTACCTATTTTTTAAAGCGATGAAAGAAGTGCTATTCAATTACTCCTAAAATACAATTTTTCTTCTCCTTTTTGAAGTCTCCCTCTAACCCTGTCCCATTCCTAGCAAAAAATAATCTTCTTTTTCGCAAATTTTATAGTTGTTACTTTATTACTACTTATACACATTTTAGTTATACAATTAAAATACCACGAAACTAGATTGCAGATTTTAAATGACGAATTACCTAGTGACCTTGAATTTAACTTAACAGCTGATTTCAAAATGGCCATATCTTCACATTTTAATTATCAACCTAACAATGTGTTAATTTGAATTTGAAAATTATTGCAAACGTCTGTTAAATTATGTTACTTTAATATCCATTGCTTTTTGTGAAAAATAAGCTTGACCTACAAATGAGCTGCAAGGACATCCTGAAATATGTTTTGATCTCAGATTCCGATTAAGATTCCATAAACAACAGTGTTTATATCCATTATTTTTTGAGAAAAATGAGTTTGACCTTGAGATAACCTGCAACAATATTCTAAACAAAATTTTGATTGCAACCTGCAAGGTCTCTATCGATTGTTGGCGTAAAAAGTAGGGTGTTCCTTTCATTCAACATTTTCATATTGACCTTTGTTTGACCTTGAAGGATAAGGTCAAACTCCAATGTCACAAGCATATTAATTTCTTGCTATCTCAACTTTTATCTGAAACTTTCTTTTTGGGTTATCCTCAATATACACATTTAATATTCACCGTGCACCGTACTTTTTTGTTATATATTGTACATAAATTGAAGTTTTCACTTCACAAATTTTTTTTTAAAATCTAATATTAACCTAACAATGTGGAAATTTCATATTTGTTATCAAAATCAACTAGTAGTTTTAGCTGAGAGTTCTTTTCAATATCTATTATTTTTTGTGATAAATAAGTTTGACCTTCAAATAACCTGTAACAACATTCTGTAAAATATTTTGTTTCCAGATTCCGACATAAAATTTGGCGCTGTATCCGTTGCAGGCGTATTCCATTTGATATTAAGTTGTTCTTAGTTTGACCTTGCAACGTGTAGTGAAGGTCAAACTGAAGGTTACCATGTAATTTGTCATTTAAAAACTACAAATTTGGCTTCAAACAGTTTTACCGAGTTTTTCAGAGAAAAATGAGATTGACCTTCAAATGACCTGCAAGGAAAGAAAATTCTGATCTCATGGTCGGACGTAAAATTTGGTGTTCTATCGATTGCTGGCAAAGAAATAGGGTGTTTCATTTAATATTTCCAAGTTGACCTTGGTTTGGCCTTGAAACTTAAAGTCAAGGTCAAATTTGAGGTCCCTAGAGTATTAATTTCTTGCTATCCTACAACTTTTATATGAAACATTCATTTTGGGATACATTGAACATAACATTTAAAATTCACCCTGTACTGTATTTTTTGGTTATACATATTGTAGTATTCACTTTCAGCATTGATAACTTTTATAAAATCTTCTACCGTTCACTAGTTATATCGATTAACTGATGCGTCACAGAAGTGACTCACAACTGCACAACTTCATCGATATAAAAGGCAAGCATAAATTCTCTCATACATACAATATATTGCATCAGATATAATCGTCCGGGTGTTTTATTACGTAATAAGAAACCACAAAGATTTATGTCACTCACTCAATATCTCGATGGTGTGTATAAGGTCCCCCTGGGTGCCGTCCCCAATTTGGCAAGTGTAGTCGCCCTGGTCCGAGTGTCGGATATCCTTCACTTGCAAATTGTACCCTATCAAGGATATCCTGGGGTCCATGCTGATTATCTGTTGTCCCGCGCTTATGAGGGTGGTGCCTCTCTTCCACACGATCACAAACGGCCCTGCAAAAAAACACGAGAATGCCTTTACTGCCGAAATACGACTCGTTTGAGGGGGATAGGGCCTTTACTGCGCCGTTATGGAAAGCTTTGATGATACAGCCACGAAAACATGTCCATCTATATAATAAGGGATGTAAAACTTGCCCCGTGTCCCATGCGGAGCGATTTTCATAATTTGTCCATCTAAAATCATAAAAAACCCTACCCGCATAGGGTGGCTTTTCTTTCTTTTTTGTTAATAGTTTACAGAAGATTCGCGTATGTTTCATGATATACTGAGTGTTATTATTTTAATTAGGTTACACAATTCGACCAAATAAAATAAGACACGGCAGCTTTCCATGTCGCGGACAAGGGAGTATGACAAAAATAAATAAAATGGTGTTCCTTTAAGGACGCCAAAAGGGCCAAATTGTCTTGCAAAGTTACGAAAAATCAAAACAATTATAATCTCTATATAGTTATATCATCAATTTTAAAGGAAGGTAGGGCAAAATAAAATAGAATACGAATTTGGTCGTTAACCTAGCTTTTACTGCGTTTTTAATCCACAATAAACGATAATGAAAATATCGATTTGAAATTTTCAGAATAGAGATTTTTATCAACCTAGAAAATGATAAAATAATGAGAAAAAAAATTTAAGAAGAAATTTTTGACGGTTTTGGAAATTCTTAAAAATCTTGTGGCCTCTAAAAAAATTTTTTTTGTGCTAATTTTTTGAGGGGGCTCTTAAAACATGACAAACTAACATATTTTCACAAGAGACACGAGAAAAAAATATTCGTTTTTTTTGGGACACCCTAATTGGTATGTATGTATAGCTAAATAAATATGGCAACAAGTTTTTCAAATATTTTAATGCCGAGTTGCTGTGTAGCGACCGAACCTGGTACATACTGCCTAGCTCTTTGGTCTTCAATTGAGATCGGACATACTATACCTATCTATTTAAAATGCCAGAACGGCTAAAAAAACACTCATTCGTGCATAGCACTTTGTTAATAAAGCGGGGATCCGCTGCCTTTGATTTGGTGATTTGAATCAAGTGCAAAATTCAACACAACTGTGGAAATCAGCTGTTTCGCTTCAACGGTCGAACGCTCTGTAGTTCGCCGTTGCGTTACCTTCATAAATGTGTTGCGAAGTAGGACGACGAATTAACGGGAGTTAAGGGGTATTTTGCTTAATTTTTAATCCATTCATTTTTTTTTAAAATTTTCTGTCTTTATTAGGGGTGGGCATTACATTAATTTAAAATTGCTGAAAACATTTAATGGGTAAAATGATACATTTTGATTTATCTCGGAGAAAGGAGCAAATGTTATTTTTCGTGTTAATATTACTCATTTGTAAAATACAATTTCAAAACATTAACTAAATTTGCCCTTTTTATTTGTAATTCGTACAATGTCATCGACCTCGATGACTGTCACTCACATAACTTCCATCATTTTCCTTCCTATTTTTACAAGTAGTACAGGATGATTCTAAAATATGTAGCGAAACATATACGATAGAAACTAGAAGTCAAAACAGATTTGTTTTAATTAAACAAATGAAGCAATTAAACATTTTAATTTGTCTACAACTATAATTTCTGTAAAAATATCTGCATTATAATATTCTAATACAATTTTGATTAATGAAATTTTAAATTTTCATACACAGCAACCACAACATATTTTTTCAACTACCAACCGCATTATCGCAGGATAATTAACAGAGTTTCAAATAGCCTCAGCGTATACCAATGCCGATCACAGAAATATATAATTCACCCGCTCCCGCCCAACCCCGTATCGCCTATTAAACTTTGCCCCGCTGTTTTTACGTTTCTGCATTTGATAGTGTCGTATTCGAAGCGGCAATTTTGCAACATACACCGAAAACACCAAAAGCCAATTTCAGAGAAATTGCCTACGGTGGTTCATTCGAATCTGCCACAGTGGAACTGGACAGAATCGTGTTCTTTATCACAAAGGACCACGCACTTTTCTTATGGGAAATGGCTTTCGGTGAAAATGGCTGAAAATTTAGTATGTTATAGTTCTCGATATGCTGATAAAAAGTTGTCATTACACCATGGCCCTAAAACCCATACTTTTAGAGATATAATGGGTAAACTTGTCCGTGTAAATTCGTAAATATTAGTTGGAGCTATACGTTAGGAATGAGACTATTTCTTTAATAACATTATTGAGTAAGTGTAATTTTTGGAACTGAGGTTTTGGGTTATTGGGTTATTTCTCTACTTATATTAGTATTCATATACTTACTTATTGTTTTACTTTTTGATATTTTACTAAGTAATTGGGTTCTTTACTACTATAAAGAACTCCGACTATCCATGTGACTATTTCTGTATTACGACATCTTGTACGAATATGATGGCAACAGAATTAAAGGTGCATAAATGTTAATAGTGGCTCATAGAAGTACATCGAGAAGAGAATATGTTATATGTGCACAAGAGAAAAATGTATTAGGTTAAAATTTTTAATTTCTGAAACAATTTAGTATGAAATCTAAATATAATCTACTTATATCATATCTAGCTAAAATCTATATAATATTTAGCTTATTACATGGGACATTAACATATTCTATACTTTTTGAAAATATTATTCAAGAAACTACAGTTACAAAAGGATTTATCTGCACACTTTGTCGATAATGCTAAACTTGAGATTGTAAAAAATCTCAACTTGAATATCACGTAAGTTTTTTCATCGAACAAAAACCTTCAAAAGTAGCTACTTTCAATAAAAAAACTCGTAAGCCTGTTGAGTAAATTTTATTTTGAATGTAATAATTATAGGACCATTTTTTCCAGTGGAAGGTATAGTATATTAATATTGAATTATATAATTGTTTCTGTTGGAAGCAATTTTTAAACAAAATGTAATTTTCGCTGTTGTTTCAGAATTTTTTCACCAGCATGGCTGTATAAATACATAAATAATGTACAATCTAAATACATAATTTTTAATTAAAATTAATTAGAATTAATCATCCCTACGACATAGGTCCAATTTACGAATTCCTGCACACGGACAAGTTTACCTCATTATATCTCTAAAAGTATGGGTTTTAGGGCCGTGGTGTAATGACAACTTTTAATCAGAATGTCGGCAACTATAACATACTAAATTTTCTGCCATTTTCACCGAAAGCCATTTTCCATAAGAAATGTGCGTACGCTAACTTTTACCGCTGCTAGCGCGTTTGTTACATGAACTATCAATGTAAAACTTTCTGAAAATAAAAAACTCTTTCTTTAATTGTTTCTAAAATCCCGGTCAGATACCTCCAATAGTTAATTAAGAATTAACGTTATAAAAGAAAATATCTTGGGAACAAAGAAGCGTAGGTGACTCCTTTTTTTTAATTACCGAAAAAATAAGCTCTATTTAATGCAAAATGAGCGAATTCCCGAGCGGCTTTTGCCTGACCCTGGGAAATTTGTTTATAACGCTGTTTTGCACATCCTACTTTGTTAGTTGTAGAGGACTCTTCGAATTTTTTTTTTTGATATCTTTCTTTGGATCAATTAGAACCTATATACAGGGTAGCCCATCGAAAACGTACCGCAAGGCAATACAGGGTAGTAATGGACTTTTCGGCAAAATCCTTTTGGCGCAAAAAGCATAGCAAAATCTTCAACCCCCTAAGTGGGGGTGCCATCCCCCAAATTTTTTTAAATGGGAATGGGGGTCCAGTGGGGGGTCATTAGAAAGGGCTTTTAATTCTCGATCGATCGATTCTTACTTTTTGAAAATCTATTCATTATTTTAGAAAATATGCAGCTTTGAAAATACGAACAATATTTTTGACGAGAAATGCGAAANGTATACCAATGCCGATCACAGAAATATATAATTCACCCGCTCCCGCCCAACCCCGTATCGCCTATTAAACTTTGCCCCGCTGTTTTTACGTTTCTGCATTTGATAGTGTCGTATTCGAAGCGGCGATTTTGCAACATACACCGAAAACACCAAAAGCCAATTTCAGAGAAATTGCCTACGGTGGTTCATTCGAATCTGCCACAGTGGAACTGGGCAGAATCGCGTTCTGTATCACTTTGTCAAATTTACAACGGACGGTATTTTTTTATACGTTAACTTTTACCGCTGCTAGCGCGTTTGTTACGTGAACTATCAATGTAAAACTTTCTGAAAATAAAAGTTTAATTCTTTCTTTAATTGTTTCTAAAAACCCGGTCAGATACCTCCAATAGTTAATTAACAAATAAAAAAAATATCTTGGGAACAAAGAAACGTAGGTGATTTCCTTTTTTTTAATTACCGTAAAAATAAATTCTGTTTAATGCAAAAAGAACGAATTCCCGAGCGGCTTTTGCCTGACCCTGGGAAATTTGTTTATAACGCTGTTTCGCACATCCTACTTTGTTAGTTGTAGAGGACCCTTTGAATTTTTTTTTCGATACGTTTCTTTGGATCAATTAGAACCTATATTTATATTATTAACTGCCAAAATTAACGTTTAATTAACAATTAGTTGCGAAAAAACAAACAAAATAAATTAACAAATAGCTGGAGAAATAATTTCACCGTCAATTGAATCGGCGTTTAGCACACATGTTGGTCATAAGATTGACCGTATTTTCCATAAATTTCATCAATATCCATAGTTTTTTGCAATAATAATTCGCAATTTTCGAAAACTGATTTTTCCGCGTTCGACCTTTATTTTAATACTAAATTAGTGAAACATTACTCTAGATATCTTGTAATTGTAGGCAACATAAAATAACTTTTCCGATAAATGTGTCATTTATTTACAATTTGCCAACTTAGCGACACTTCAAGTTAATTTTCCGATATACTACATATAGTCCACGGGCCCACGTACAAATAAAAAAATGATTACCAGCAAGCTGTAACTTTGCGTGCAGCTTAAGTTTGACGAGTCTCCCAAGATTTGACTATGAGGAAAATTCAACAGTGGTAAGTTTTCCCGTGATTTTCAGGAAA